GGAGTCGGTGGCTGCAACGCCAACGGATTTCTTCTATAGCGTGCCTACGAAAAACATAGCCCCCTCCTGGCCAACACTTTCCGTCTGCCGACGTAGAAGAATGTGACCTGGATGCACCCCCGGTCGCGGCGTGGGCAGTTACCGGACTACGTTACCGTCCGTAGGCAAGATCGACGCCGACGATTGGGCGGAGCACCGTCCCATTATCTCCAGGAGGAGGCTCCGACTACAATCCCTCTGAGGACCCCGTGATAAGCAACCCCCAGGTAAGGTAAGTACTGGACCTTTGCGTTTGTCCGCTTACTGCTTGTATTTCAACAATCAATTTTCGCAGCAGCTGGAAGAACTGACTGTCGTGAATGATAGCGCCGGTCGCGTACGCGCCAACATCAGGACTGGTTCAACGACGACGACGACGACGACGACGCAGGTATCAGCTACTTGCTCGCCGAAAAAATAGGCTGCATGAAGTTTACCTGGACCATCTGACTGACGAAAAAGGCCTATATTCGCTTTCGCCGCTTCCTGCAGTAGCGCCTGCGGGTGACGTAGGACTCCTGGATAATTCGCATCGTATATGAACTCCAAGGGTATGCTAACCTCAGTGAGGCAAAGAATATTACCATAGCAATCGAAGTGATGTAAGGTCCATCAGCCAAAGGAACCACGCTGTTTCTTAGTTCCGATAGGCAAAGCACCTCTGACGGAAAGAATAGCAGATTCTAAAGCGTTGGTTCGGGGATTTCAGAACTGTCCTTAACCACACATCTACAGTCTCCCATGCTGCCGCCGACCAACTGGCTTGAGTGGAAACAAACGACCACCTGAGTATCCCTGTGCTGAAGTACTTGACTACTTGACCTTTGACAATCTTGTCACGTTTGTTTTACTGTAGCATTTGTTTTAACGTGACGAAGACTCCGCCGCTTGTAAGCTTCGCGCCGCTTGCATGCTCTCTGGTCAGGTCGTTGCACATTTTGAATATTAACGTTATTCACTTACTGGCCTTCCTTACCTCTCTCCGTTTATGAGGTTAGTAAGCCGTTGTTCGTTAGTTCGCGGGAACGACATAACTTACGTCATTGGTGGCTCCCGACGTTAGCGCAGACTTAAGTTCTTTCCTTCCGTAACATTCAATGACATTTAACGTCCTGTATCTATTTGCTAAATTTTAGTTCATTTACATTTCCCGCTAACCTTTTCACGATATTTTGCTACCTATATTTTGCTTATTATATCTTCCTCAACTCCACAACCTGACGTTCCTGCCGAGTCTGTTCGTGCCGTCCATTTCACTTTGCCTGATTTCTGGCAACACGCCCCTGAACTTTATTTTATCCGCATTGAGTCAGCCTTTTACTCCGCCAAGATTACGAAGGAGTTGTCGAAATACCACAAACTTATGGAGGTTCTCCCTGCCAATATTATCTCCCAAGTTCAACCCTTGTTAGTGAAACCCCGTGCAGACGCTCCCTATTCTGGTCTGAAGGCGGAAATCCTTCGTCTCAATGCTGTATCTGACCGACAACGCTACCACCAGTTGATCAAGGAGGATTCACTGGGCGACCGAAAGCCCTCAGAACTTCTCCAACGAATGCGTACTCTCTTAGCAGACATGCAGGTCGACGAGAAACTCGTCAAAGAGATGTTTCTAGAGCGGCTGCCTGCAGATGTCCAAACGATTTTGGCATCCGGCTCGCAAGACCTTACACTTTCACATCTTGCTGAAATGGCAGACCGAATGCTAGAGGTTCAACGGTTCCAGCCACCTTCCGTTGCTCAGATTTCCACATCCTCTTCAACGGTTAACGAGCAGTTACTGCAACAGATGTCGGCTATGGCGAATGAGATAGTCTCCCTTAAACTACAGCTTGCTCGCATTACCTGTAGTCGCTCACCCAGCCGTCATCGTTCACGTTCGCGACCTCGCAAAGCCAATTTGTTTTGGTATCACGCAAACTTTGCCGCCAAGGCTCGCAAATGTTCTTCCCCTTGTTCATTTAAACCGAAACAGAAAAACCAGGCAGCCAGAGAATAGACGCGACCGTTTTCTCTGGCTCCCCCAGCTCTGGTCGCATCTTTTATGTCTGCGACAATGTGACTCGCAGGCATTTCCTGGTGGACACCGGGCCCAGGTCAGCGTGGTTCCCCCCATTCCAGTTGACCGCCGCTGTCCCAACCCTGGTCTACATCGTCAAGCTGCAAACTGTTCCCCCATTTCCACTTTTGGTAGTCGTTCCCTAACGCTAAACATTGATTTACGTCGATCATTCTCCTGGATATTTGTGATTGCCGATGTGCCTCATGCGATCCTTGGTTCCGACTTCTTAGCCGAGTTTGATCTCCTTGTTGACTGACGGCGTTCCTGTCTCCTCGACCACACAACTGGTCTGTCTGTCCGCGGTCTTACACCCTTTAATGACTCCTGCAATTTATCTGTTCTGGACACAGGTATTGCTTGCCCATACCGAGACCTGCTCCTCCACCACCCCAACATAATCAAACCCCAGTTTCGCAGTGGTGAGATCCAGCATGACGTTGTCCACCACATTCGCACCTCTGGCCCCCCAGTATTCGCACGGCCTAGACGACTGGCTCCGTCCCGTCTGCAAGCGGCGAAGGCCGAATTTGAGCACATGCTGCAGCTGGGCATAATTCGGCCGTCCGAGAGCCCTTGGGCGTCCCCTCTGCATATGGTGCCCAAGGCGACATCAGACGACTGGCGGCCCTGTGGTGACTATCGCGCCCTCAACAATGCGACCATCCCGGATCGTTATCCCGTCCCTCATCTTCAATATTTTGCTGGAGCTCTGTTCGGCAAATTGGTTTTCTCGAAGATTGACCTTGTTCGGGCCTTCCATCAGATTCCTTTCGCTCCTGAGGATGTTCCCAAAACTGCCGTCACCATACCATTCGGCCTGTTCGAATTTATTCGCATGCCAATTGGTCTTCGCAATGCTGCCCAAACATTTCAGAGGTTCATTAACCGAGTCCTACGTGGTCTCCCGTTTGTGTACGCCTACATCGATGACCTCTTGGTGGCCAGTCGAAATGCCGAGGAACACAAGGAGCATCTTTCCTTAGTGTTTGACCGCCTCGATCAGTTTGGCGTGGTCATTAACCCTTCGAAGTGTGTTCTGGGTGTGCCGTCTCTTGATTTTCTTGGTCACCATGTCGATGCACAAGCTTTGCGTCCCCTCTCTTCCAAGGTTGAGGCCATTCGTGACTTTCCTCCACCAACCTCCAAGCGTCAGTTGCAACGTTTCCTTGGCATGGTAAACTTTTATCGCCGGTTCCTACCGAACTGTGCCGACCTTATGCTGCCACTCACCAACTTGCTCTCTGGTCCCAAGGGTCCCCTTAAGTTACGTGGCCACGCGCTGACTGCATTTGAGAGAATAAAGACCTCCCTTGCTGATGCTACCTTGCTCACTCATCCTGCTCCAGAAGCCCCATTGTCCCTGATGGTTGATGCTTCGACCGTTGCCGTAGGAGCAGTCCTCCAACAGCATATCAACGACTCGACACGACCGTTGGCATTCGTCTCCAAGAAGCTTTAACCTGCCGAGACGAGATATAGCACGTTTGGCCGTGAACTTCTTGCCATTTACCTAGCCGTAAAACATTTCCGGCACTTCCTTGAGGGTCGTGACTTTACAATTTTCCCACACCACAAACCACTTACATTTGCCATCCGATCCCATTCTGACAAATATACCCCGAGAGAGATTTCTCATTTGGATTACATCTCGCAATTCACCACCGACATCCGCCACATTGATGGCCCGAAGAATGCGGTGGTCGACATGCTGTCCAGACCTTCCCTCTCGGCGTTTCACCTCTCACACGGGATTGATCTTGGTGCTATGGCGGCTGAAAAACGACGTGTTGGATGTCCTGGCGACGAGTCTGTTGACAGTCTTCAATTAGTTGACGTCCCATTGACCACCGGCACTGGCCCAATCCTTTGTGACGTATCGACTCCTTTTCATCGCCCTTATGTACCCGCCTCGATGCGTCGAGCTGTTTTTCAAATTCTCCACGGACTCTCTCACCCTGGGATTCGAGCCTCACAGAAGCTCCTCGCGGAAAGGTTCTTATGGCCTGGGTTGGACAAGGATGTGAAAGCTTGGACACGATCGTGTCTTTGCTGTCAACGTAACAAGGTTCAACGCCACAATCAGTCTCCATCGGGCACGGTCCCCAGCCCCGATGCACGGTTCAACCATGTGCATTTAGATGTCGTAGGTCCTTTACCTCCATCCAATGGCTATACTCACCTTCTCACCTGCGTTGATCGCTATACCCGTTGGCCGGAAGCCATTCCTTTAACGAATGTGCAAGCTAAAACCATTGTGAAAGCCTTCGTCAGTCGTTGGGTCGCCATATTCGGTGCGCCATCCATGATTACGACTGATCGAGGCGCGCAGTTTGAGTCCACACTTTTCCAAACTCTCCTCAACTTCCTTGGCTGCACACGTATTCGGAAGACGGCCTACCACCCAGCTGCCAACGGCATGGTTGAGCGTTTCCACCGCCAGCTAGAAACTGCACTGTGTGCCGCAGAAGATCCCGAAAACTGGTCAGACAATGTACCCGTTGCACTTCTTGGCATTCGTGCGGCACTGAAGTCAGACTTGGACTGCAGCGCAGCCGAATTGGTTTGCGGCACTACCCTCCGACTCCCTGGTGAGATGGTCACCCCAACTTCTCGTGGTGCCGAAGAGACCCCCGAAAATTTTGTGCATCATCTGCGACAATTCATGCGCTCGCTTTCCCCGGTTCCACCTCGAGCTCCATCGACCGAGCCTTATGTTGAAAAAGGGTTAGCCAACTGCACCCATGTGTTTGTTCGGTGTGATCGTGTGCGGAAGCCGTTAGAATCACCATACGAAGGACCGTTCCGTGTGCTTGCACGTAACAGCAAGACCTTTCGGATCCTGCGCGGTGACAAAGAGGACGTAGTCAGCATCGATCGGGTCAAGGCTGCTGTTGCAGAGGAGCCCCGGACGTTTCTCAAGGACAAGCATGTGCTGACCTTATACCTCCTCCCACTCCTTTTCCATTTTCCCCACCTATCCCTCCGTCCCGTATACTTCCTCTTCCTTCTTGTTCGCAGCATCAAACTGCAACCTCTTCCTCCACCCTTAACTTGTCCACTACAACACCTACTCAGCTGCCTCCAACAGTGCCTCCCGCACATATCACCCGCAGTGGACGTCACGTTCATTTTCCCGATCGTCTAGTTACTCATTTCTCCTAGACCTTTGTATGTCCTCCGGCGTCCTTCACGCCGCCCTCCGGTGTCGGAGGGGGGTACTGTGCTGAAGTACTTGACTACTTGACCTTTGACAATCTTGTCACGTTTGTTTTACTGCAGCATTTGTTTTAACGTGACGAGGACTCCGCCGCTTGTAAGCTTCGCGCCGCTTGCATGCTCTCTGGTCAGGTCGTTGCACATTTTGAATATTAAATTTATTCACTTACTGGCCTTCCTTACCTCTCTCCGTTTATGAGGTTAGTAAGCCGTTGTTCGTTAGTTCGCGGGAACGACATAACTTACGTCAAGGGGACCTGACCCAAACAGACCGGCATGGCAAATCGAAGCCCTGCGGCCAAAGCCAAAGTGGAGGTTCTCTAGTCACAAGTACGCGCCTCCTTAATGCCAACGTTTAGCCGTGCCCGCGCTGCTAACGTGCATTCCGCGCTCTAACCGGTCTTTTGGGTACCTTCTGGCCTCACGTGTTAACAACCCGACCCAGTCTACTTCTTCTGGCCCCTGCCGCAAACCCCTCACTGACCGCCACTTCCGTCACCACCGTTAACACAGTCGCTGTTCCGCCGTCATCAACGACCTTCACCATCCGCCCTGCCGCAACCTCCTTGCCGACCACAGCGACCAGCCCTACCGACATCACGACATCTTGTAGAAGAAGACACGATCGCTGGAACAAGAGATTGATTAGCCTGACGTTTCGGATTCCTGCTCGAACCCATCATCAGAGACAAAAGCGGATACGAGTGGCCCATGCACAAAGGGCTGCACTATTTACAGGATGCAGTCGCCATGCTACCTCATACCTATGAACATTCACGGCTCCCCCCTTCATCAGGGATCGTTACACGTGGTGTGGTGGCGGACATCCGCGTCGTTAATTGCCGCAATTTCATCACGTGCGTTGCATATTGGTGTGATGATTGCTCGACCATCTGACCCACCGACCATGGCGTTGGGAAAAGTGTTCACCTGTGCACGCCCCGTGTGGCCACTTACTACGCATAGGCGAAGTCTCACCATCGAGTATGGAATGGGAAGACCATTGCACTTGTTACTAGACTGAGGGCCAGTAAACCATGATTCGAGTAGTTCCCGGCTCACGCGGTTGTCACATCTAACAAGAAGTTTGTCCTCGTCGAATTTGCATGTGTGGCCGGATCTCGTCGAATGAGCCGTCGCTTGAGAGCTGCCGTCATTTCTCCGCACCGCTGCAGCGTGTTCGGCCATTCTCGTTCGGAGCTGTCTTCCGGTTTCTCCGACATAGTTGCTTTGTCCGCAACTGCACCCGATCCGATAAACGACTCCAGACGTTGCTTGCCGTGTCTGCGGGTCTTTCTGTTTCATTACCTGACGTCTGATGGTTGCCTCCGGTCTGTGTGCAACTTCAACCGCAAGTGATGCGAGACGACGGCCAACACCTTCCGAAACGTCCTTGACATACGGAAGCGCCCGCCAAGATGTGGTGTCCGTGCGGTTAGGACTTTCGTCCATTTTGCGTATGCACCGGTTGTCGAAGCTGCGCGGGCAGCCATTGGTTTTTAAGACCCATCGGAGGTATTGTAGTTCGGCAATCTTGTCTTGCGGCTCACTGCAGTGCGTTTTGGCACCAGGACACACAGGAGGGCAAGCTGGTTGTTCTCTTCCTCCTCCATCGTAAATTGAATGTGCGGGAAGAAAGTGTTGAGATGTTTCTTGGATGTCAGCAGTTGATCCCGGTCGATAACGACGAAGGTACCATCCACATACCGGATCAGAACTTCGGTGTGTGGCGTTGGAAGACCAGCGATTCTAACCGTTGCAGGACCGCCTCGGCGATGAATCCCGAAATAGGCGAACCCATTGGTGTGCCCTTCACCCGGTCGTAGATTGTCCTGTCTAACGTGAAGTACGTCCTGAGACAGAACTTCAGAGCTGAAGGACTTAGGCGGGTCCAAGACGATTCTCCATTTCATTGTATTTGTTTTGTAGAAGCAGCTCGATTTTGTCGATCGCCAGGTCCTGGGGAATAGAGGTAAGAAGGAATTTAACAGCAAAAGATACCATGACCTCATTTGGATATAGGCTTACCCCTTTGAGTTTCTCCAGGGATTGTGCTAACGAAGAGACCGTGGTGTCTGTCTCAGCGGTCAGAAACTTGAGACGCCGGAACAGTCACTTAGCCATTCCGTACGTTGCAGTACCCTTGAGCGACAGGATGGGTTGAAGATGAGTGCCGTCTTTGTGCACCGTAGGGAAGCCATCCTATAAATACTGCTGCCCCCTGTGCATGGGCGACCCGTATCTCCTTTTGTCTCTGATGATGGATCCGAGCAGAAATCCGCAACGTCGGGCTAATAAAGCTCTTGTCCCAGCGATCGTGCCTCCTTCTTCAAGACTTCTTCCTGGGACTCATCTCTTCGCTTCGATTGACCACGATATCATGCGCTCTCCGTAGTGATGGGACAACATTTGACAACCCGTCATCCACCACCATCCCTATCAACACCGCCACCTCCAACGATGTGGGCTCGGCCTCAACCTGTTCTCACCGCGATCTCAAATTCACCTCATACATCGGCCTGGTCGGACACTTGCGAATCTATTCCACAGAGACTGACAAACCAGTGCCCGGAGCACCAACCTACACCCACCGCATCCGCCTCATTTGGCCCCTCTGCCCCCACACATTCAGCCACTGCATGGGTCTACTGCGTTACATACGCATTTGTGGAAACCTGCGGTAGGCAACCACCGGTTACACCACATCATCACACCTCCCTCCACTTGCATCATCACGACACAACAACATCGAAATGACACAACTGTCACCACCCACGTAAGTGGGAAGTCTGCATCTCGGCTCTTTCCTTATGTCACTCCTCTGCGGCAAGTGTGGTCCGCCGAGTCTGAAACTATCGCGGTGTGCTAAGTGCCGTGGCTTCGAAGGCAGCCGACTAACGTCCCAACTCAGCCCAGTAGTCTGCCCAGTTGTGTGTTTGTGTAGATTGGCGGGCTGGTGGGCTGAGAGTCTCGCTGCAATGGTTCCCTCTGAACGTGAGCTCTGGTGCTGCTGGCCGCTGCAGAGATTTGGACGGGGAGGATTTTAAAGCTGCGCGACGCATCAGTAACGGTCACCTACAGTATGATCTATGCGGGCCGCGGAAAGGAAGAGAATCTGCACGTTTCAGGTTCTTGTTGAGAGGAAGACAAAGGCATGGTCACTGGGACGGAAGCTTGAGCCTTCAACTCGAACAGGAGTTCATCATCAGGGAAATTTGGAGTGCTATATCGTGTGAACAATATACAGCGGTCCCGTGAGGGTGGGGTGGGGGCGGAGGAGGACGTAGAACGCATTCCAGAGTTGGGCGCGAGCATAGGCCATCGTTCGGCGGCTACCATGCGAGTCAGAATCATGATGATAAGAATCGGCTGGACGCAGGTAAGTAGTCTAGCGTAGTTTATCAAAATCCGTACCATAACTGTCCTTACTGTCATACAAGCCAAACAGGACGACGCCTCAGTTCACGAACACTCGAGCACAAAGGAGACGTTCGGAGAGGAGATCCACCGTCTCAAGTCGCCGATCGCAGGCTGGACGAAGGCCATGAGTTCGACCTCGCCAGCAAGCGGATACTGACGCGGACAGGCAAAAAGACGTGGCAGGAAATTCCTATTGACCCAGCTGTGAAAAACTCGGCGCCACGGTGGGATTCGAACCCACAAAGTAAGGGGAAGGCTTTAGTATAGCCAGCGCTCTAACCACTTGAGCTACGAGGCCTCGCCGGACGACGCTATATTAATCACATTTTATCACATCTGACTGTACTAAAGCCTTCCCCTTACTGCCTGTGTTCGAATCCCACCGAGGTGCCGAGTTTTCCAATGTTGAGTCAATATGAATTAATCAAAATCTGCCAAAACATTTATGAATTACGTAAGCCTGGTAGTCATCTAGTGGATTCTAGGTGAATTACTTAGGAAATCCTGCTTTGGCAGTCAACGTTCTCTATCATATTCGGTAGATTCCAGACGTTGCAGTAGGCTGGGCGGGTAAATTGACCCAAATGTGATTAAACTCGCGTCGTCCGGCGGGGCCTCGTAGCTCAAGTGGTTAGTGTGTTGGCTGTACCAATGCCTTCCCCTTACTGTGTGGGTTCGAATCCCACCGAGGCGCCTAGTTTTTCACAGTTGGGTCAATAGGAATTATTCAAAATTTGTCAAAACATCTATGTGGCAGGAACTGTTGGAGGCGTGGGTGTCAGACACCAACACCAACACCATCAGTAGACATACTGACTTACTCCCCCCCGCTTGACGCCCACGCAACGAAGTGGCGCAACTCACATCGCCGTCTATGCCAAATGCCATCAGCACGCCCTGAGACCATTGTGGGTCTGGCGGTGCGAACCAGACTGAACCATGGACGTAACCAACCGTCCCCCAAACCTCAGGGTACGTCTGCGCAAATGTTCAGACGCTGGAGCACTCCAACGACCTTTGATGCCTAGCTCCCGCCCGATTTCGAAAGCTCAGACTGGAAAAGCTGCCTTCGCAGTGATCGCGTCTGCGTTTTCTTTTCCGAAATAATTACAAACACATTTTACTGTTTCTGTCAATATTTTACTAATCGTCCGTGTCGCGTTCATACAAATGTTCGAAGCGTGCCGACGGGTTACGCATGACATCCTAACTGGCCCTGACACTGGCTTCGCGTTCGACACCTTGAGTACGAACTCCAAGTTCTGCTAAACTTCTAATATTTTGAAATTTTGTGTTTAATTTCACGAAAAGTGCAACAACAATCCAGGGGCATCAAACTAGGGGGATGTGAAGCCCAAATGTATATCCTCAACTCATAAAAAACAGGCTCACAAGGCGTCTGCGGATTAATTCTTCCACAGTTAGGACGCAGCTACCTTTACCCCCATCTTGTTGAAACACTACACTCTACAGTATGCCATAATCAAGGGGTAGTGCTTTGGAAAGTTG